TTAAAATCAGAATGCTTATTTAAGCTCAGCACACCAAAGACTTGGACGGTGGTCACTAGCCAGCCCAGTCTGAGACCAGCCAACTGGGAAACAATTGTACGCTGATGGTCATGGGCTAGCTACTTGTTTATGAAACATATTACTTGGTTAGCCAATCAAATCTCTGGCCATGAAGTTTTATACTTGATAAAGATCAAGGACATCTTCATTCAAACAGCAAATATTTCTGCAAGCTCATGAAAGTACAATATTGGACAGTGAATGGTTGATAGAAAACCATTTCTCATCCTCTGATGCATTCAATGTTGATCATATGAGCAGTCAATATTCTGTATAAATAGTTATTTGATCACTGGTCTTGATTTATGCCAAGTGTCAATATAAACAACAATTTTAGAGAAATACTATTTTGCCACTTAAGAGATATAAGGAGACTCTAGGAATCAACTTTTAACTGATTTCCATCTCAATCTATCAGATAGGTCGCAACATGTTGACCTCCCACGAATGACTCCATTTAAATACTTTATTATGAACCTGTCAGCTATTGGGTCTCATTGTTCACTAAACTGGCCATATGGATATGTCTCCCCAGGTTGTGTCATCAACACAGTGGGACTGTTCATAAGGGGGTTGATGATGATTTTAAAGGGGAGTCACCCATTTTGTTCTGGGGAGCTAGGGGGGGAAAGCAATTTTGTACACACGCACTGGGGTGGGGGTGGGGATGGGGATTTGGGTTTCAGCAATTTTGTACATAAAAATATGTTTAAAATTATGCTTAGAAATTATGGGAAGGGGAGGGGGTCATTGATTTTGTACATGAAATGCGGGGGGTGGGAGGTTATTTTGTACATAAATTTGGGGGGGGCATCCACATTGTACATGCTTCTCCATAAGAATCATCATCACCCCCCCTAGCCATAAATTATGAACAGTCCCTTGGCCCATTGTTGAATATGTATGTGCATGTCGTGTCGGGGCCATGTGCTGCCCGTGACTGTCCAATCTCACAGGAGAAATATGATATTCCGGAAGAGACTAGTCTGTGGGTCCTTGTACACAACCATGGTACTACATGGTGTAAACATGGTACTTTATGGTACATAAGTGGTATGTATGTGGTATTCTACAGTTATATGCATGGTACTTTGCAGCACATATATGGTAGAGATGAGTACTGCTATGGTACTATATGGTACATCCATTGTACCTTGTGGCACATGCATAATACTTTATGACACGTAAATGGTATTTAAAAGTACAATCATTTTTTGTTCTATACAAAAAATATGGTAAAAAACAAATGTTATATTAGCAAGCATGTTTCACAAATACTATGTTTACTTAGGCCAGACCAATTTTATATGTTGTTTTATGGATGTTTGTACTCAGAAAACCTAAAGGCAGGAGGGGGACAAAAAAACAACCAAAACTAAAAGTATTTTACTTTTGGCAATTTATTAAGTGTATTTGGGGCAAAACACAATCTGTCCAGTAGAAATGCCAGGGAGTACTAAAGAACATATTTCTTTCAGCGTCAACTCATTCAAGGATCACTCAGGGTACACTGGGTGTGCAAGAAGTGTGTGTATATATCATAACACTTAAACTGTCCTATACAGTATTGTATTGCGTTATGCAACATTTACTAGGTAGCATTTGACATTACATGGCAGACATTTCAGAAACCAAACCTTGTTTGTCTTTCAACTTATTGCTGTCTACAATTACACCATCAACTTACTGGTCGGATGACTGTGTATACAAACCCTATTGTCGTGTGTGCCCACTTAAATCGGGGCGTGTGGTTGCTTGTATATTCCACACTGAGTATATGCCCAGGCTGATACAGCCAATACTTCCCTCTGAGTGGACGTAGCACATTCAGTTGAATGTCTCAGTCTCCATGCGGAATTAATCGTCATGTTCGATTCTACGTGACTTTTGCTAATTGAGTGAACTAGGATTGTATGCTGTATAAGACAAGTAACATAGAGTCCACTCCTACTGTGATAACATATACCGGATCTGAGATCACAGTTATGTCAAACACTTGGAATGCTTTAACATTAAAAGCACATTAATTTTTTTTCTGTTCATACTGATAGCTTTTTGTTTACCAATTAACTTGGGCTGGTCAAAATAAGAATAAGTGAACAGGTTATCTTCTTTTACTTGGCCAAAGCTAATTTGGTCAGAAAAGTTGAAAAACATTAATAAGCGTTATGTGTAAAGTGAAGGATGTATGTATGTATTCATGTCTGAAAAGGTTTTGCTGTTGCCTTGAGGTTGTATAGATTTAAAATCAAATCATCAATAGTTTGAAAAGTTAATTGTTACTTTTGCAATTTTGTGTGCTTTTGTAGTTATGTTTTTTAATTTTCTGTATTAAAAATTTCCTGGTAAGGCCAGACCAATTTTATTTCTTATTACTGTTTACGGATCTGCCGGTCATATTTTTTCAAGAATAAGAAAAAAAATAAAAGTTATCTTTCCCCTCAAAAAATAAATTCCTAATGTTTTTATTAGCCAAAAATGTAAACTTACCAAAACCTTTTTTAGATTTTTTTTGTTGTTGCCCTATATACACATCATAAATTGCCAAAAGTAAAATACTTTGAGTATTTGGAAGAAATATTACTTTGACTTGTGATTTTATTTTTATTTCTTTTCCCTCCTGCCTTTAGGTTTTCTGAGGACAAAAATCCGTAAAACAAGAAATTAAATTGGTCTGGCCTAATGAGAATACATTTATACAAGTTATATTTCATTTTCACATTACTTTTTGCTTACAGTTGGTTACTGCTGTAAATCAATTTCTAGAGGGTTGCCAAACGGTTATTGATCGGTGAAATAGCTGGGTCATTTGCCTGACTAAATGGTTGGCTGGGTATTCCTTCTGGAAGAGGTTTATAATTGGACTGCTATCGCAGGTAGCCAGTACTTCGAGAGCTTTTATTGAAAATGTAGTTCAATGAAATCTGTTTTATAACTGGAATTTGTTTCAACATGTTCGGGGTGTTTATTAACTCTCTGCAAAGACTTTATTGCCCAGTATTGGCTATTGAACAGGAATATATCACTCCAAGGTACATTTCTGTTATCTTGTGCTGATAAGTATGCCACAAGTCCTATGTTATGGTGGGGACTGGTATTTGTCTATATGGCACTGTACATGACGTAGGTAGTCAGTCAGGAGCTGTGAGGCAAAATATACACCTCATTCCTTTGTCAGCTTGAAATGTGAATTAATTATGCCTCAAGACCTTTGTGTATATTGTTTTGTGATTTTAGAAGTTAATCTGTTACAGATTATGTGGAATCAGAGAATCATTGGCATTTAACATGGCATTCAAATCTGGCATTAAGGAACAAATAATGAAGTATATAATTTAATAACACACCTGTTTTATGACACAAGGTCTTGTTGCAGATCAGGTGACTGATTGTGTTGGATATGCATATTGAGATGGTATCTGCTCAGCCATCCATGCCATGACCCTGTTGTCAGAAGTTGTTAATTTATGTGATCCCTAGATTCAAATACCATAGGCCCAAAACTTAAAGACTCCAGTGGTAACCCCAACTTTAAAACTTATTGAAATAAGGTCATGGTCTTGAATATTACTTATACAAGGTCACAATGTTGAATTACAGAAACAAGGTCACAATGTTGAATTACAGAAACAAGGTCACAATGTTGAATTACAGAAACAAGGTCATATGTTATACAAGGTCATAATGTTGAATTACAGAAACAAGGTCACAATGTTGAATTACAGAAACAAGGTCACAATGTTGAATTACAGAAACAAGGGCACAATGTTGAATTACAGAAACAAGGTCATAATGTTATACAAGGTCACAATGTTGAATTACAGAAACAAGGTCACAATGTTGAATTACAGAAACAAGGTCATAATGTTGAATTACAGAAACAAGGTCACATTGTTGAATTACAGAAAAGGCCATAATGTTGAATTACAGAAACAAGGTCACAATGTTGAATTACAGAAACAAGGTCACAATGTTGAATTACAGAAACAAGGTCATAATGTTGAATTGCAGAAACAAGGTCATAATGTTGAATTACAGAAACAAGGTCACAATGTTGAATTACAGAAACAAGGTCACAATGTTGAATTACAGAAACAAGGTCACAATGTTGAATTACAGAAACAAGGTCACAATGTTGAATTACAGAAACAAGGTCACAATGTTGAATTAGGTCACAATATTGAATTACAGAAACAAGGTCACAATGTTGAATTACAGAAACAAGGTCATAATGTTTTGAATGTGGTGTAGCTAACACCGAGTGTTTGTGTGCAGATTTTGAATGAGAACAAAACTATTCATGAACAGTTTAGTGACATATTCATACATGTCAACACAATGTACAGCAAATCTGTAGAGGATTTCCACAAAATACTTAAAATGTCCTTCAGATACTTATTGATTAAAAACATAATAAAATGAGTGAGTCTGACAATAATTTATTCACTGGCGTTTACTATTATAGGCACAGGTTGCCTTCTTGGCCAGGTCAGTGAGTCTGACAATAAGTCTATTCACTGGTGTTCACTATTATAGGCACTGGTTGCCTTCTTGGCCAGGTCAGCGAGTCTGACAATAAGTCTATTCACTGGTGTTCACTATTATAGGCACAGGTTGCCTTCTTGGCCAGGTCAGTGAGTCTTACAATAAGTCTATTCACTGGTGTTCACTATTATAGGCACAGGTTGCCTTCTTGGCCAGGTCAGTGAGTCTGACAATAAGTCTATTCACTGGTGTTCACTATTATAGGCACTGGTTGCCTTCTTGGCCAGGTCAGCGAGTCTGACAATAAGTCTATTCACTGGTGTTCACTATTATAGGCACAGGTTGCCTTCTTGGCCAGGTCAGTGAGTCTTACAATAAGTCTATTCACTGGTGTTCACTATTATAGGCACAGGTTGCCTTCTTGGCCAGGTCAGTGAGTCTGACAATTAGTCTATTCACTTGTGTTCACTATTATAGGCATAGGTTGCATTCTTGGCCAGGTCAACTTGCGGGCCTGAAGGCTGAATGTCACAACAGGCATCTGAGTTCAACTTGCACTGAAGAAGGGCAGTCAGGGTGTCGCTGTTCAGGTTCTTCCTGCAGTCTGTGTGTATCTTCCTCACCTGACTGAACACCCTTTCACAGTCAGCATTACTGTGAGGAAGACAAAGCAGGGCATGCATGACTTTCCTCAATACAGGAAATCTCACTTGTCCCATGGGGGGTTTCATTTGAAGAATGTTGCTCCAAACTTTGTCGATGGCCTTTCTGCTCCCAGATTCATCTTGAAGGGGAATGTGGCAGTCCTCCAGCAGCTGGTAGTCCTCATACTCTTCCTTCAGTTCCTCTAGGTTCACATTGGGGCAGAACTTGTTGGCAAGGCTGACAACTGAAATACACAAATGCAAAAACTGTAAACATATAAATAAAACAAAAGTTTGAAACAGTCAATTCAGTGCTTGTGTTTCTGTAAACATAATAACTAATTTAATTTTTTTTTATCACATTCTTATACTGATAGTTTTTAGCTTGACAACCAACAATCAAGTAAAAGTTGAAACTCTGTAAAACAATACATCAAGAAGAAAAACAGACAGTTATATTCTTAGAACATATTATACACATATATTCTTACACTGATAGTTTTTAACTTGTTACCTTTCAATGAAATATAGTTTGTTCAAGAAATGGTTGATTCTCTCTGAAACAATACATTAAGAAGTAAATCAGGCAGAATAATAATCTTACTGCTTGAGTAATCAGTGTCAGCTCGCCTCCCAGGATCAAGGATGACAAGACCACGAAGAACTCCATCATCAAATGGGAACTTCTTCAGCATATTCAAGTTTATTTATTATTTATTAGTCTGTCAACATATGTCAGTATAAGTTCCAGTAATGAACACTATCTCTGGATGCTAGCCGCAGGGAAGAATGACCAGTTAACTGATATTGCAAGACTTATTTTGTATGGATCAGCTGAAATTGTTTCGAGAGAATGTTATTGTAAAACTGTCACCAATGATATTGTAAAGCATGTGCTTATATCATGTATGATCAATATGAACTCTTTTGTTAAGATCTGGGATCAAGATGATGATGTTATTTTTGCATTTTTACTTGGTGGATGTCCAATAGAGTGTATCATGGAACTAGAAAGAGATGTAATAATTAATGTAAGCCATTTTAGAAGGAAATGGCGACATCGGCTAAAAAACATATGTATATGAACATTCTTGACTATGTCACTAATCCATGTTAATCATTTGCCATAAAATATATTATCACTGCATATTGTAATCTTCATTGAATTGGAGGAAATAAAGAATATGTATCTATCATGTTCACATTCTTGATCCTGTGCTTCCCTGTTTCCACAGGGGCTCCACCACGGGGTGACGGTGGCCCAGCCCAATGAGTTCGAAGTGAGACATCGCCCTAGCATCATCACCCATCTACCACCGCTTAGCGCGCCCATGAGGTAAGCATCGCCACCCATTTACCACTCAGATTTCTCACAGATTGTTTTACAAAACAGACAGTACTGTACTAATGCCAGTGCAGCCAATGTTGTCAGCTTTGAGGATCATTCCTTTTGAAAACACAATAGTCAATTGTTAGTACACAGTGTGTATGGGATAGAGACAAATCCATGCATAACAGGCTAGTTTATCTGAAACACAATGCATTCCTGCCCTTGCAGCTTTGTGTCTCTGTGATATGCAGATTATCATGATAGTAGTTAGAGCAGGGATGGTGATAGCATCACAACGGTGTGTTTATATACTCTGTGTTAGTGCCTGGCTAAAATGTACCAGCATTTATATTGTCAATATGACATGCTATAGCCCAATTAAGTGTATTCAGTACATCATATAAAATATTTGTCAAAATTCTCTGTCATTATCCACAATGTGAAAATACCTTTTGAAATAAGTTTGAAGTGATGGAGAGAAATGAGATGCAGCATATCAGACTTTATATTACAGTATATGTGCATCAATAGCACTGTGTTGAGTCATCCAACAGTAGATAGTCTTACTACATCACCTTGCTAATAGGCTTTACTCTTTGGTCATGAGATTATTTGTTTCTATGAATTAGAGGGTCTATGATTCATCTATCCTGACCAAAACACCCCAATAAAGGAGCTTTCATATAGTTTTTCAATCACAGTTCTATAAGTATGTTGCATAAAATTTTCGTTTTTTTACCTTCATTGAATACATGCCCAGACTTTGTAAACCAACTAATATACTACAAGAAGCACGGTATAGTGCTGTATGTTACAGGTTCCTTTGCAGTTGGAACACAGCTTGATTAACATCGTGTCAAGTGCATGGTGTCATGTGTCGTGGCCTTGCTGTCACGATATGTTTCACGACCTTGAGTATTGTTACAGCCCTGCTTTGAAGTACTCATATCGTTCATCTCACGACCAGGGGTAGTAGCAGTGCACAAATCACGACCAGGGATAGTAGCAGTGCACAACTCACGACCAGGGGTAGTAGCAGTGCACAACTCACGACCAGGTTTAGTAGCAGTGCACAACTCACGACCAAGGGTAGTAGCAGTGCACAACTCACGACCAGGGGTAGTAGCAGTGCACAACTCACGACCAGGGGTAGTAGCAGTGTACAACTCACGACCAGGGGTAGTAGCAGTGCACAACTCACGACCAGGGATAGTAGCAGTGCACAACTCACGACCAGGGGTAGTAGCAGTGCACAACTCACACGACCAGGGTAGTAGCAGTGCACAACTCACGACCAGGGGTAGTAGCAGTGCACAACTCACGACCAGGGTAGTAGCAGTGCACAGCAGTGCACAGCTCACGACCAGGGTAGTAGCAGTGCACAACTCTCACGACCAGGGGTAGTAGCAGTGCACAACTCACGACCAGGGGTAGTAGCAGTGCACAACTCACGACCAGGGGTAGTAGCAGTGCACAACTCACGCACCAGGGTAGGGTAGTAGCGCAGTGCACAACTCACGACCAGGGTAGTAGCAGTGCACAACTCACGACCAGGGGTAGTAGCAGTGCACAACTCACGACCAGGGGTAGTAGCAGTGCACAACTCACGACCAGGGGTAGTAGCAGTGCACAACTCACGACCAGGGGTAGTAGCAGTGCACAACTCACGACCAGGGGTAGTAGCAGTGCACAACTCACGACCAGGGGTAGTAGCAGTGCACAACTCACGACCAGGGGTAGCAGTGCACAACTCACGACCAGGGGTAGCAGCAGCAGCACAACTCACGACCAGGGTAGTAGCAGCAGTGCATAACTCACGACCAGGGGTAGTAGCAGTGCACAACTCACGACCAGGGTAGTAGCAGTGCACAACTCACGACCACCACGACCAGGGGTAGTAGCAGCACAACTCACGACCAGGGGTAGTAGCAGTGCACAACTCACGACCAGGGTAGTAGTAGCAGTGCACAAACTCACGACCAGGGTAAGTAGTAGCAGTGCACAACTCACGACCAGGGGGCAGTAGGGGTAGTAGCAGTGCACAACTCACGACCAGGGGTAGTAGCAGTGCACAACTCACGACCAGGGGTAGTAGCAGTGCACAACTCACGACCAGGGAGTAGTAGCAGGTACAACTCACAAGTGCACAGCTTCACGACCAGGGATAGTAGCAGTGCACAACTCACGACCAGGGATAGTAGCAGTGCACAACTCACGACCAGGGATAGTAGCAGTGCACAACTCACGACCAGGGGTAGTAGCAGTGCACAACTCACGACCAGGGGTAGTAGCAGTGCACAACTCACGACCAGGGTGTAGCACACAACTCACGACCAGGGGTAGTAGCAGTGCACAACTCATGACCAGGGATAGTAGCAGTACACAACTCACGACCAGGGGTAGTAGCACTGCATAACTCACGACCAGGGGTAGTAGCAGTGCACAACTCACGACCAGGGGTAGTAGCACTGCACAACTCACGACCAGGGGTAGTAGCAGTGCACAACTCACGACCAGGGGTAGTAGCAGTGCACATCTCACGACCAGGGGTAGTAGCAGTGCACAACTCACGACCAGGGATAGTAGCAGTACACAACTCACTACCAGGGATAGTAGCAGTGCACAACTCACGACCAGGGGTAGTAGCAGTACACAACTCACGACCAGGGGTAGTAGCACTGCACATTTGTGCACAGACCTTTATGTTTTAATTGTTGGAACCCCAATAGTCTGGATGTGAAGTTAGGGGACAGGAGAACGTGGGGAGGTGTGGATGTGTGAATGTTCAGGAGGTGACAATTGTGATGGGAGAATTGTCATTGGGGAGAAAACAAGACTCATGGGTGGTCCATGTCATTAGTGGGTACAGGGTGGCCCATGTCATTAGTGGGTACAGTGGGTGCCCATGTCATTAGTGGGTACAGTGGGTGGTCCATGTCATTAATGGGAACAGTGGGTGCCCCATGTCATTAGTGGGTACACTGGGTGGTCCTTGTCATGAGTGGGAACAGTGGGTGTTCCTTGTCATTAGTGGGTACAGTGGGTGGTCCTTGTCATTAGTGGGTACAGTTGGTGGCCCATGTCATTAGTGGGTACAGTGGGTGGCCATGTCATTACTGGGAACAGTGGGTGACCCATGTCATTAGTGGGTACAGTGGGTGGCCCATGTCATTAGAGGGTACATTGGGTGGTCCATGTCATTAGTGGGCACAGTGGGTGGTCCATGTCATTAGAGGGTACATTGAGTGCTCATGTCATTAGTGGGAACAGTGGGTGGCCCATGTCATTAGTGGGTACAGTGGGTGGTCCTTGTCATTAGTGGGAACAGTGGGTGTTCCTTGTCATTAGTGGGTACAGTGGGTGGTCCTTGTCATTAGTGGGTACAGTTGGTGGCCCATGTCATTAGTGGGTACAGTGGGTGGCCATGTCATTACTGGGAACAGTGGGTGACCCATGTCATTAGTGGGTACAGTGGGTGGCCCATGTCATTAGAGGGTACATTGGGTGGTCCATGTCATTAGTGGGCACAGTGGGTGGTCCATGTCATTAGAGGGTACATTGAGTGCTCATGTCATTAGTGGGAACAGTGGGTGGCCCATGTCATTAGTGGGTACAGTGGGTGGTCCTTGTCATTAGTGGGCACAGTGGGTGGTCCATGTCATTAGTGGGTACAGTGGGTGGTCCATGTCATTAGTGGGTACAGTGGGTGGTCCATGTCATTAGTGGGTACAGTGGGTGGCCCATGTCATTAGTGGGTACAGTTGGTGGTCCATGTCATTAGAGGGTACAGTTGGTGGTCCATGTCATTAGTGGGTACAGTTGGTGGCCCATGTCATTAGTGGGTACAGTTGGTGGTCCATGTCATTAGTGGGTACAGTGAGTAGCCCATGTCATTAGTGGGTACAGTGGGTGACCCATGTCATTAGAGGGCACAGTGGGTGACCCATGTCATTAGTGGGTACAGTTGGTGGTCCATGTCATTAGTGGGTACAGTTGGTGGTCCATGTCATTAGTGGGTACAGTGGGTGACCCATGTCATTAGAGGGTACAGTTGGTGGTCCATGTCATTAGTGGGTACAGTGGGTGACCCATGTCATTAGTGGGTACAGTGGGTGGCCCATGTCATAAGTGGGTACACTTGGTGGTCCATGTCATTAGTGGGTACAGTTGGTGGTCCATGTCATTAGTGGGTACAGTGAGTAGCCCATGTCATTAGTGGGCACAGTGGGTTGTCCATGTCATTAGTGGGTACAGTTGGTGGTCCATGTCATTAGTGGGCACAGTGGGTGGCTCATATCATTAGAAGGTACATTGAGTGGTCCATGTCATTAGTGGGTACAAAATTGTATTAGAGGGACTTACAGAAGTCCATGTTGTCAGTGTTTTACCTGTGTTATCAGGCAATGTCAGCACCCCCTACAGAGTGCCTGCCTGGGTTATCTATGTCTGATAAACCCTCTCAATACATACACATATATATATCACCCGGAGTTGAGGGTTTAACCTCGGGTCAAGGAGGCAGGGGGTAAGGGCAGTGCATGTGCATTCAAGGTCAGAGGGGTCTTAGCTGAACAAATAGAACCCTATTTATG